TGTCGGTAGTCTTTTGGTGCGGAAAATAAAAGACACCTGATATCAACGTGACACTCTGTGCAAGTAAGGACAATCGAAATGGCAACAACATCCAAATGGCCGATGTCGTATTAGTTGAGAACATCCGAATATCCGAATAATATATAAAATATAAGTCTAATAATATACGATAAGGAGATTCAGGAGACAAAACAACTGCTGGCTAGCAATAAGGTTACGTTCATAGCAAATAAAACAGTCAAAACCAACCAGCTGTCAGCAAGTATGCAGAATAACTGTCGCCCAATATCTCCTTACTCATTGCACCACATATGACTTCAATCTTAGCATAGGACCTCGCGCGAAGGCAGTTTATGGTGTGCCCCGGGCCACTCGCGAACTGACGCGGGACCCCTCAAAAGTGGCTTGACAGCAATCCGTCCAATTAAATTGCCGTGCTAGTAGACTTGTATCGTATATTAAGTTTGTCTCAGTGCGTCTGGACACAGACTACACTATGGCGTTTGCCACTAGGCATCATTTAGGAGGCGAACTAACCACGGAATGGACTGCATATGTTCAAGTTAAACCTCCTATCTATTCTTTTTGTCCTTTTGTGCAGCATATACTCTTCCTACCACTTTTGCCTTCACAGAAGTTCTCTCATCTCCTACGGACCTAGAACTGGAAGACCGTAGTCTTAAGAATTAACCTCCTTACCCTGAATAGCACTCGATAATTCTTTTATTTCACTAATACGCTGTAATAGTATTTAATAGGTATATGTAAAAAATGTATTAAAACTCTCTGAGCTGAACTAAGGTGAGGAAATCATAATTATCATAACTGACATAGATCCGATATCCACTATTTAGGGTGGTTGTACCTCCACCTAAAATATTCTTACGCGTTCGTCTATAAACTATATTAAAAGCATCAAAATAAAGGTTTCTACGAAAATAATGTTAACGTACAACCAACTTTTTAAAAAAATAGGGAAACTAGCTTACCTTTTTGACTTATTAGCCGTCACTAGCCATTCAGCGTATCACACATAAAAATGAATGGCTAACGAGGGGCAGTAACCCAGATAAGGTCATTCCGGTTTCGATGAAGCTCCAAAGTAAAATCGGACGAGCATGTTTCCTGACCAGAATGGTAAGCGCTGTATTATTATATAATACAGCATCTCATTTTCACCTTATAGCGGACACCATATGCACCTGATGAAATCCCAGCAGACTAGAAAATCACATTCAGTGCGAGATGTCCACTTAATTTTTAGTTCGAAAAATGTGCGCAAAGGTTTGCATTGCACGTGTACATGTATTTATAGACAGCTCATAGATTAACGGCTATGAAGTCTCCTTCACTGATACAATAAGCGTACGCTGAGCTGGAGACTTATAGTATTTACGTAACAACCCACGGTTTCTTCATTGCTCGTTTAAATTCTGATGCATGCACAATAAACTCTGATGGCTTGGTCTTCCTAGCAGCTAGCGTAGGGCTTTACGTTCTTATTACAAATGGTTGAATTGTATGCTTAGCATACGAACGGATGTATCCTTCGCCACATAGCCCAACTGCACGAACCTCCTTATGAATCCAATTAGAGTGTGGTGAGAAAATAGTTGTTAAGTTAGTAAGCACTGAGTTATTAAGGCTTCATTAACTTGCATAATTCAACTTGATTTGACTATATTCTGATGAATTTCCTCCCTATTAAGTAACTTGTCGTGGGATTCGTGCTTACTTCCATTTATGGTATTTATATTTTTAAATGTTCGCAAATTTTTATCCTTGACAATAACCCCAAGTTTTAAAAAAGCCGTTCGGTCAATCATTACCAGCTTCATTAACGTTATTAAAACGAAGCCTCACGAGCTTAAGCGACGAAATGTGAGAAGGCCAAGTGGTTGCCTGTGCTTCATAAGTTTGATTTTAGGATTGGCCTATCGACTTGGATGTGAATTATAAATCTCTAAGATGACATGGAGGCCAGAACAGCCACTAACTGCCGCATGCGAATGACAACTATTCACTCACATATCGCATAATTACATGGGGATGACAGATTCTGTCCCCAGTTAGCGCATAATTAAACAAGCGTGACGGTTACCTTCCTACACGCTGACCCATCGTAGTCTTGTCTTAGCCATAGTTTTGAGTTAACTGTTTTCGCAACACCGTCATTTGCCTTACAAAGAGTTGCGGAACCACACCTTACAGTTCTCTCAATAGGCAGCATTCTTGTCCAAAGAACTTCACCGTTTAAAACATATTTTGCTTGGGATGCCAATATTTTCTATAGGAAACGGAACTCACCTAACTTTTCTGGATTCACACCAACAAATGCGGTAAATTTTGAGATCACATTTGCGCTGGTTGACAATGTGACAATCTGTTTCTGGACACGCGTGGCCTCCTTCTGATCTGCCTGTCCATTGACAAGCGATGCATGCTTGTCGGACAGCTCGAAAATCTGCATCTTTGCTGCCTGTCGATGAAAGGGGAGGGTCAACCCACCGGACTCCTTATGTTGAGACACCTCGGCCTCAGCAACATTCGCCGAGTTAGTGTACTTTAGGCCAGTTACACTGTATTCCAGGGTAACCGTGCCAGCCAGCTTCAGTTTCTTTGCTGTAATTGCAAGGAAGTATATAAAATTGGGTGCCAAGTGGCTTGTCAAGAGAAAAAAATTTCTTCTCTTCAACGAGCAACGAAGGTGTGCGAAGAAAAAGACACTTGTGTTTGTGTGCAGATCAGAATGCCCCCAAAATTGTTCACTGAACAAATGTTACGAAAAATTCAGTAATACGTTCGACTGTATCTTCTCTCGTCGCCCCGTCATCTGTTTTAAGCCGTTTCCTTGCAAAGTTATCCTCTCAGATTTCTGTATAGTCTATTTGAGAAAGAAATTGGATCAAAGAAGGTGCTGCAACGACTGTGCTTTGTGAAAGTCTTCGGCATTTCTTCGAGAGGTAACTCTAACACAGGAAGGCGTAGGACACAAACTACAAAGGCTGAGTTACTCTACGGACATTATGCCTTATTAATTTTATAGCAATATTTGAGTGAATTTGTACTTACTCATAGTTTGCACTATATCTGTTGTTTCTACGCCTATTTCTCTCAACCCTCTAATAGTTATTTATAGTATAGACATTTCTACATAACAGCATGCGGCTTGAATATTAGAATAAAAGACAAATAGTAGATAATTATAGGTAATGCGTTATTTTTGTTGCCATTTCTGCACCTATCAACCAGAAAGTAGTTTCATACGATAAGCCTATGGAAAACGTAAAAGTGTACGACCTAACTGCTCCGCAGGATATGAAAGGTGTGGCCGGAGCATACACTGATTTGCCGGCCATATACTTAATAGAAGTCTGTCTTAATAATTCGGCAACGACGACATACCAGAAACCACCGATAGGTAAGAACATGGATAACACACATTGCCCGGTGGCATGCAAACATACCAAAGAGTTCCGCTTAAAAACATCAGAGTGGGGGTCTCACATTGATTTTAACACACATTTTATCAAATTATTTCGCTTGATCGCCGATCCTACCTCTCAAGATGTGCCCATCCTGGGTTAATGCTTTTGCGACTCGGACTAACCGATTTTATTCGCAAAGCTACTAATAATTCATATGTTACTAGTGTCAGTGTAAGTGTGCATGACACGTCTGATTGCAAAAGGAATATTCTTGTAAGAACCAAAACAAAGGAGACGCGTGTCTATGAGCAACATTGGAACAAGTAGTCTATTTACTCAAAGTTTCGCGTTCCACCTTGATTGCTATAAACAGAGAACAAAGCAAACTACTGCATGCATTCACCTGTTACGCAATACTAATAATTCCTGCCAGCCAAGCGGCCACATGCATACTTTAATTAGTAGCCCTGAGAATTGAAGTCGATGAGGCGATATATTGGCAGTCAGCCACCAAGTCATTAACAGCTGCGATTTCGTCCTGCGTGTTCGATGCGGGCTTGCTAGTTACGCGAATAGTAAGGTTTGACATTAGCGGAGTTGTAGTTGTGCCCGGTTGTTCCACGTGACTGATGGTTTTGTTCAGACAAAGGTTCAGTATGGAACATAGGAAGAGAAAGTCATGGCGCTTGTGGATTGACTGTGGGCCTAAGAAGCATGACAGAAACAGCTCACGAATCACGCAGTTGTCATTTCCTGCGAGGACATCGGCTGCGTATAACCTTTAATTACGGCCGAGGTTCAACAAGTAAACTGAAGAGTATGCATGCAACAAACTGTTATGTGCTGATCTGTAATGTAAGTTAGAATTCAAAACAGCAGGCAACTTAACTACTTTTTCCAGCGATCGCATCCTCTACTGCTAAGCTGCTTCCTGGAATTCGCCTATTCGGTTCTACCAACAATTAACTTGTTTGAGATACTCATCTGATCAATTGGTCAGTGTATTTTACTCGAATGTCATTTTGGCAACAGTCATAATTTGTTCACTTTACAGACCTTTGCCTTTCAAGAGCAGACAGGTTATCGCAAGACTGTATTTTGACGATCATTGAGGATTTGATTGTCTTTGGGATCTCCCATTTCGACGGAAAGGCTATTAGCATTGCATCTTCTTACATTATTAGCCGCTATGCGGCTGCTTTCGTGGTTTTTGAGTGACTCACGAGGCAGAACTGTACAAGTCACTTCAGATAGCGATCGGTAAACAGTCTCTGACGAATGCACCTTTTAAATTATAAACCGGCAAGACAGCGAGCCTACGGTCCAGTGCATTAGAGCCTTCGGCGATACACTATTTGGCTCTGTTAATTACTGGTTGATATCGGCGAAGGAGCTGTAAATGAAAATTTCAGTTTCCTTTACCTGAGATGACAATGCTCAGCTTCCTGAAAGTCAACAATATATCAATGAAAGAACCAGACGAAAAACTCAGATAGTTATTAGTGAGAGAGGTAGATAAAAAGTGCGTTGGTGGCCTAAACCCAGGGTGCTCGTAGGTTATGCAAGACTCACGATTTTCAATCAGTCCGACGACAGTTGCATAACTGCCCGAATATAAGTTCGGGACTTCGTCAGGAATGGTTATCACAGGCATGGCCTTCCCTTTAGCATCCCCGGTAATGGACCACGTCAATTTAACGTCAGTTGCAAACGGTTGCAGGGCAAATTGCAGTATTTGCAGGACAGCAGGCTGTAGACGATCACTGTTGAGAGTGGAGCCAAGAAATTATGCAGTGGGTAATATGCCTGTAAAACTTTCGTGATAAATGGAACATCAATATGGGTGCATCTGAAAAACGCTATAAAATATGACCAACTGGTACATCATTAATGAAATTATTATTTGACTAAAAGTATCCGGGATTGCTGGGACAAGAACCTTATTCACCTAACTCAAAGCTTCCCTTTTGAATCAACCACCGGAAACAGAAGCAGGAACGGGTAGTCGTTGCACAGAAAATTTCAATATTTGTAGCACGCATTCGCTAGGCTACTGCTTGCTTGTGTTCTAATTGCTCAATTGCTGGCGTGCGGTTCCTCATCTGCTGAACATTCATCACACTTTATGAATTTCGGTATGAGAACTATTCGGTTGTCGGGATTATCTGCAATTGCAGTGCTCGCTTCGCAGAAGCGACTAAGAGTTAATGAATAATCATCCGAAGCTTTTAAAGCAAAGTTTCGCCACGTCTCATGTGCGTGAATGTCGTACAACCAAGAAGTCGATTGGAAGTGAATAAGCAGTATTCTTATAAAATTTCACACACAACAGAATGAAAGTGATTGTTGTATTTTTCATTCAATTAACGCTTCCTATTTCAACGGAGTTCTTTTGGCTACAATAGTGTCCATCTAGCTTTGTCTTAAGCCTGGCTTTTTCGTAAGTTTTCTTTTTAGTTTGACTATATCTGTTAGCTTGTAGATTTCAGTCAAAGAAACGGAAGCCTTAGTTTTAATTTCCGCTTCTGATGTTGGCTTAGTGTATTTCATGATAAGCATTTTAAAGGTTGAAAATACAAACGTTGTGAACTGCAGGCATCCTTTAATTTCGTCCCGAAACGTTTTCGTCCATATACATACCTACTCAAATAGCACTCATGCCGTGTGAATACGAAAATAGGTTCCGATCTCACTCCGTGCGGTGTCCACCCTAGTGGCGACTCCGGCTTTGCCAGCTGCCTGCGCTCTCTCCTGCCTGCGATCTCCAGGCGGGGTAGCGGAAGATGGTGCGATATCTGGAATGCAAGTTTTACATAAGCTCAATCTAATGCACGTCTGCCTTTGGCTTGCAGGAGCCTACTGTGGACACCAGTGGAAGTGACGCCGGAACTCACACAGTTAAAAGCCAGTTAACAAATAGGCAACTCTAACCAGTTTTACTTTAACCGGCTTATTAAATAAATTTAAGATTGCTTCTAAGTGATGTACTTAAAAAGGGTACCCGCATACGCAGGATAATTAGAAAAACACAGAGCAATCTCTAGGGGCATGAAGATAAGCTAGGCGCATAATCTTCCATTCAAGGCTTGTTTGATCTTCCTGCACAGCGGAAACAGTTTAGTCGCACCCAACGCCAATTACCCATGGAACGAGAACTGTTTCACGGTGATGGTATTTTGTATGAGTTTAAATATAAGAAATTCAGGCTTACTTATTTCGCACGAACGCAGATTTTCCACCGCCGGCTCGTGCCACGCCAGTAACAAGGGATGTGTTGGCGCCATCTTCGAGGCCAATGGCAAACAGGCGCGTAGTCCTTACATTGCGTCGCACAAGTGAAATGACCTACACAAGTCGAACAAAGAAAAATTTCATCCTGAACGGTCAGTGAATAACATGAAAAAAAATTGGATAGCATATGTGTGCATACTGATATTTTTATTCATGGGGATTAACATTTGCTCCACAAAAAACTGCTGCAGGCGCACTGAATTTAGCTGGCTCATAATGAAATTGGACTGATATAGTGCCTAAATCACTGTCCTCCATCCGCATTTATGTCCGGTGTAAGTTAATGGCAAAAAGCGATGTAAAAGCAAAAGGGCTTCACACCGCAAGTCAAAAATCAAGCTCATGAGGTGGTTTTGATCCCGGCTGCGTGATAGTGCCTTAAAGGCCATATTTAGAATGAACCATTGCACCCTAACCCGTGGTCCATAAGTCAGTCTCTTCATACAACGCAATGCACACCGGGCTGTCCGCGCGTTTACCTATAAAACTGGACAGTCGTTTGAAGATTCAGAGTCACTTTAACTCACTCACCATTAAATGGTAAGCAAATCCGGGAGTTAAGACTTACGACGGCCACTTAAATGTTTCTTAGTCACATACAATTATTCAATACTTATTACCGTATTCAAAACGTCGGTGTTTGACTTGTGCGAAATCCATCATTCCATGCATAAAATGTAAGTCTCAGAACGCCAACAACACCTATATTAAATTGTTGATATTAAATGGAATCGTTTACTTAAATGTTAAGAGATCAGACAACATCTAATTCCGGAAAGATCCTTGACAACAGTTTGATATTTTACAATGGGATAGCCACACACATACCGACCTAAAGATGCGTAAGACGATTGGGTTTTCGCACATTTTAATGACGAGCACGCGAAACCTCAGTAAACACCAGACCCCTGTTGTATAACTTATAGGAAGATCTTTGAACGACATGTTGGTTCTGTGCAGTTTTGATAGGTTAAGAAAATTATTATCTTTTAAAAATGTTTCAGCTCGCGCGCATGAGCAAATATATGATAACAATTCAAGTCACGCACGAAGGGAAATAAGTGCACAATCTCCACTTGAAATAATATACGGCGAAGACTGGGATCTGAGGAAATAGGGAATAGGACATAATTACCTCTGGCTGGTTTGTTATATCGCCGTCTGTAAGAAATATGATCTTCCTATGCCAACCAGAACCAGTAATGTTCTTTGCATAAATGCTCTCCAGAGCTCCATATACTTCAGTGCCACCCATGTCCGCCTCCATATTCTTTTGGTATTCCAGAGCCGCTTCCAGTGACGCCTCAGTGTAGTCTTTTGGTCTAGCAGGAAAAAAGATACTGAAAACCTTTGCCAGAAGACGACGCCTGGCGAATGCCCCTCTTGCTGACAAATGAATACACACGCATTTATATGGTGGAATAGATCCAATAAAGCAAAAAGACAGCGAAACCACAGTTTCTGGCTTGTTAGCCACCATCAGCCAATCAGACAAAATCTAAAGTTTTGGAACCCACGAGAAACGAACCCGGGAACATTAATCACTGAGTTTGCCAAGTTACAATTGCAACACAGGAGAGTTTGTGTACTTTAAGAATGAAAACCATAACGTTTTACGGGGAATTCTGTGTGAAAATGAAGACTCACTCATCAAACAGTGCGCTGAATGTGCTTCCGAAGCCGACTATCTGAAAACGACAATCCGTGGGCAACGACTTGAGGAACAGAAGAAGGGATTCTTTCGCCTGTTCTATTCTACGCCCACCCATGCTTCCTGCAGATGTAGAAAACTGA